TCGTATGTTTTCTCTCGTAAAAACAGCCCTCGTTCAAATCTTATATCCTTCCTTCTTTCACTGATTCAGTAAGAGCCCGAAGGAAGGTCTTCATAAGAAAAAACAATTATGGTTTTAAAATGGTTTAAAGATAACGATTATTTCGTTAGAATGTTGCATCAATGTGCAAACAAAAGGGTTAAAGGCGACTTGTTGGATACATACACACACATACATGTATATAGTGTGTGTACTGTATGTATGCGGCAAATACAATTGCAAAGCACAGGAAATACACTGGATAATATATGACATAAAAATGGCAATAAAAATACCGAAACATATTGCTTCTTTCCTGGATTTAAGATTGGTAGCCCTCCAACTTCATCAGACGATTTTTAAAAAATGCTGGGCATTCAGTAGTGAAATCGAGGCATGCCACTTATGTATGTATTAGCGGGGTTAAAAAGAAAACACGAGCGAGAGGGAGCGAGAGGCCGCAAATCAAAGGGTGCTGACAGTACATCCATTTTCGGGCGCGCAAAGAAGCGTCTCACAAATTGCTAATAGTCATATAAATTTTCCATGGATTTTAGTAATGATTACAGCATATCATTTTCGGGGGCTAACGCCGAGGGGGCGCATGGCCGCATCCACCCTTCGCTTCCAATAACGGGGTCCCTCATGGCGAGCCTCCTCGGCCTCCTCCACCAGGATTGTCTCGTAAAAAGACAACCTAATGAGCAGGGTAATCCACAGGGAAGCGAGCTAGGGTCCCATATAGCCTGAGATGGCGATCATAGATTGTACATGTAATAGATCCCATGCCAGTCTCATGGTGTAGCCATCGGTTGGACACATGGTCCTGTCAAATGTACACTATGATCCAGCTTAGGGACTTAATACAAAAGGCATCAAGACGAGACTCCAAGGCATTAGATAGCGTCCAGGTTTCGCTTCCATAGGGCAAAACCGTATCAAGGCCTTGAAGATACGTAGCTTGCTCCTTCTGCATAGGTAGTGACATTCCCAAATGCTCTTGTTGACCGAGTTCATAGCTCCTTCTGTCATACCAATCCGTCTGCTAATTTCCTGGTTCAACAGCCTAGAGACATAGGGCATTTTAAACCAGAAAATTTCTTGCCTAGAATCTCAAGACTTTTTCTTACTTTTTTAAGCGACCCCCGTAAATCAGACTAACTGCTGGAGTCTACCTGCCACACCTGCTCAAAATACTCAGCCCACCGTTTACGGACCTCAACATGATCTGAGATGATTTGTCCATCTACTGAGCAGATTGCAGTCATATGTGAGGGCTTGGAGTTCAGTTTTCTCAGGGCTTGGTAGGCAGGGCGAAGATCATTTGCTAAGAAAGGGCCTTCAACCTCCTCAGCAAAATTCCTGATAAACTTGTCCCTCGTCCTTTCTCAGCAATGTCCGAGCCCTGCGCACCAGGGAACAGGACAAGTCTGATTGTCATTCAGTCGAGCCACACAACACGCATCTGTGGCCTCCATTGTTACCAGTGAAATGAAAGTCTGTCTTGCCCTCTGGCGTTCACCAATGGATTTCTGCACTGCATTGAGTGTTTTGCGCTTAAAGGAAACCCACAGAGCTACTGGGTCAGTCAGGTTTTCGAGTTCTATGAACCGATTAGAGACTACCGTGGCAAACCTCTGGGCACACTTCCCCCTCATTCTGTCCAAATGAATCACCCTGGAGTGGCCATTGGAGAGACGGGGAATTTTGAAGTGGACTTGCAGGGTAGCCATAGCTAGTCTCTGGTCAGGGTCACAGAACTCGGCACTTCAGTAAACCCTGTAGTTCTGGAGGATCCCCAGCGAGTGCTGACAAGAATATGGTCGATCTCCTTGGCCACAGTACCCATGTCCAGCGATGTGGGTTGAAACGCTGATACCAGGAGCCAGAGATCCTCAACTCTAGAAAAGTCACGGAGAAGTAGGCTGTTCTCGCTACTGAAATCAGCAATATTCTGCATTCTCAATGCCATAGTACGCTCGTCAACTGGTGTTACCTCTACTACCGATGGTTTAAGTCATCACCCATCACCCCGGCCTGACCATTAATAACTGTAAACTAAATTTGAGTAGATGAAACAGCTTGGGTACGAGATTCCAGCATGAGAAGGAGGAGTGAATGTTTGGTACTTGTGGCTCTATGTTCCAGCTTAAATCTTCTGAGATCTAATGGTGCAGCTTAGTACCGGAAACATTGGAATCTTTAATGAAGAACGGACGCGGTGTGTCTGGAATACCAATAAGGAGACGCGCATTATTCCATACGCTTTGAAGAGCAATCCCTTCTTTCTAATATAATTCCGCGACTCTTCCGTACAGTGTCTTCAGGGGTTCTCTCTCATATGTCATTTCCTTTTCTCTCTTCAGCCGAAAAACATATTCATCCACCCGCAATACGACCCGAATTCCCGCTATGCCCACGACATCGCAGTTATCACTTTCAGTACTCACTCAAGCAACATTCTGCCGACGGTGTGCATCGCGGACGAAGCGGTCATACCTTCCAGGGAGAGGAAGCAAGTGGTGAGATGAGGAGTTAAGAAATGCAGTGAACAAAATAGATAACGTTATTTGATATGTGAATTATGTGTAATGATGATACTATGGAAGATTTGTGATAAGCAAGGATGATAATAATAAGCAGTAGTAAAATAATATTTAATAATGAAATCGTTAATACTTGAACACAGACCGGATCCTCCCTTCACTACTGAAGATCGTTACTTTCTTCCAGATCTTCGTGCTCGCTGAGAATCGCCAGACCCCCGAGTGGCATACCCGCTCCTCAAAATGGAGTACGAACTGCCTGGGACTCTCCCCGTCGAGCACCTTCTGCCGAGACCAGCTGGATTTGAAGGAGAGTCAGTTCTGCGCGCAGTATGAGGGTATGTTTTGTCGGTTCGGTGTTTCATTGGTATGTTGTTCTTTTCCCTCTTCATTATACTATTTGGAATTACTTCTTTGTCTTTTCCCTTCTTTGATCTTCCATTCGTTTGCCCTGTTTTCCTTCAGCTCTCTTGTTATTGGACTCTCCCTGTCCACAGCCGAGAAGATGGAAATGCTGAAAAACCTTGTCTGGATATTTTACTTGTCCTCATGATTCTCCTGCTCTCTGTGTTTAGGAATCGGCATCACCAGCGGTTCATCGGGAGGACCTTACCTGGCGGATATCGGCACAGGAGTGGACGAGGTTTGGGTGATGATGGGCGTGCTTTCCACCGTCAACACCGGCCCCTCTTGTTCCCAGGGGCACCTCGTCTACAGCAACGTGGCGAATAACGCGCAGTGGCTGAAGGAGTGCGTGTTTTACGACCGTTGCAATACCTTCTTCTCAACTCTCGTTCAGGGTAGATGAGACGCTTTTTCTCTACCTGTGCTGTAATGTGCTGGCCGTTGTCTGAATCGAAGCTTTGATATACATACGAATGTACACACGTAAACACACATAAGAGTAAAGTATTTAGGCTTAAGTATTAGTAGCAACGCCTGTACACAGAACGTATGAAGAAGGAATGCCTTTTTACCATTATATCAATAAAATGAATACTGTTGAATTGTTGGTTTTACTTTCATTATTTTATATAGACGGTGTAACAAGATCAGTGATCTCAAAGACGTTTCATAAAATTATCATTTTCAAATAACAGTAAATCCTTCAGTGGTGAGCTAATTAGGATTGTGTAGGAGAGGCATACTGTTTGCCGTAGAAAGTGAATTGCGACGGTTTAAGGATAAAACTTGATCAGAACTCTCGTTGCCGCAGTTCGCTGTGTAAACCGCCATGAATTATCAGCCTTCAGTATTCTCTAAGGCTGCTTGGTCACTTGATGGACTTTATCAGAAGAGGGTAAGAGAAACTAGGGCAATCGTACGCCGGTTCCCCATTCATTATATATTTTTTACCATTCAGTCACAAGTTAGACAAAATTTATTAAACAGGAATAAATATAAATGTTTGATACTGCTACAATAATTTCCCTGCAGAAATACTATATATACATACATGCATATATATATATATATATATATATATATATATATATATATATATATATATATATATATATATATATGTATATATGTATATGTATATATATATGTATATATATATATATATATATATATATATATATATATATATATATATATATATATATATATATATGTATATATATGTATATATATATATATATATATATATATATATATATATATATATATATATTTATATATATATATATATATATATATATATATATATATATATATATATATATATATATGTATATACATATATATATACATATATATATACATTATATATATATATATATATATATATATATATATATATATATATATATATATATATATATATATATATATATGCATGTATGTATATATAGTATTTCTGCAGGGAAATTATTGTAGCAATATCAAACATTTATATTTATTCCTGTTTAATAAATTTTGTCTAAATATATATATATGTATATATATATGTATATATATATGTATATATATATATATATATATATATATATATATATATATATATATATATATATATATATATATAATGTATATATATATGTATATATATATGTATATACATATATATATATATATATATATATATATATATATATATATATATATATATATATATATATATATATATATACATATATATACATATATATGCATATATATATATATATATATATATATATATATATATATATATATATATATATATATATATACATATATATATACATATATATATACATATACATATATATATATATATATATATATATATATATATATATATATATATATATATATATATATATATATATATATATATATATGCATGTATGTATATATAGTATTTCTGCAGGGAAATTATTGTAGCAGTATCAAACATTTATATTTATTCCTGTTTAATAAATTTAAATATATATAAATTTAAATATATAATATATATATATATATATATATATATATATATATATATATATATATATATATATATATGTATATATATATATATATATATATATATATATATATATATATATATACATGCACACACATACACACACAATGATAGTAGTGCTAATAATAATGAATTATGTAATAATGACAATAATTTATGATAATAACAACAGTAACAATGATTACAAGAACAACAACAACAATAATAATAGTAATAATAACAATATTGATCATGATAATATGATAACAATATCAATAATAGTAGTAATAATAATAATGATAATAATAATAATAATAATAATAATTATAATAATGATAATAATAATAATAATAATAATAATAATAATAACAATAATAATAATAATAATAATAATAACAATAATGATAATAATAACAATATTAAGACTAATCAAAATAATAATAGTGTTGATAATAATGATGATACCACTACTACTAATGGTATTAATGATAATAGTGATAATTGTTATCATAATAATGATAGCAATAATAATAATAATAATAATAATAATAATAATAATAATAATAATAATAATAATAATAATAATAATAATAATATTAATAATAATAATAATAATAATAATAACAATAATAATAATGATAATAATAATAATGATAATAACAATAATAATAATAATAATAATAACGATAATAAAAAACAATAATAATGATAATAATAATAACAGTCATGACGGTGAAAATAATTATGATGTTAAGGATGAAAATAGTGATGACAAAGATCATAATAACAATTACAAGTTATAATGATTAGAATGACAGTCATGATGAATATAATGATAATGATGATTACATTGATAATAATTATAAATGATGATAATAGTTATGACAACAATGATATAGATAATAATGTATGTGTATGTGTATGTGTATGTGTGTGTGTGTCTGTGTGTGTGTGTGTGTGTGAATGTCCATCCTTTCATATATACATCCTATGTATTATATTTGTGAATACTGTGTTTGTATGACGCAATGTACAGTATGCAATATTTCACTCTCTTTTATAGATTGACGTGATCATTTACCGATACTTTACCGTAATGCTTGAGTAATATCAGCAAATCCATATTTGATATTCAATCTAGAATATGCATTTTTGGGCATAGATACTTTCTGAAATCTACCCGTAAATTACATTATAATAAAATTTAATAAAACAAAAATCGGCAATGTTACGGTTTGTTTAGAAAACAAAATGTAAACAACTCCTCGGCGAGTTGTATCTCTCATGGCTGGCTTCCGAACATGTTGATGCGATAATTAATTCATGATAACCTTTCACCTACACACCGCAAACATTGTCTCTCACGTTTAAGATTCTTACGAAACGAATCAGAGCCTTTTTTTCCAAATCTGCCGCCAAATCAAGACGAATTACAATAAACGTCAGCTGTCCCAGACACCGAAACGTGAGTAAAACAACAAGTAAAACGTGAGTAACATGCAAAGTTTCACAAATACATCAAAGAAGACATACTGCGAGTACTGAGAACAAACAAAGTAATTAGATTGGAGGTATGTGATATATCCTAAATAAATCTATTACATGAAATTTAAAATCTGGAAAGTGAAGTGGGTATTTGTTACGGAGAGACGAAGACCCAAAACCAGGGTAACATATGGGTATAGGTTAAGTTTTGACCAGCCTCGTTTAATCCGGAAAAAATATATATGCATGTGATAGAGCAAATCAATCTAAGAAACTTATCTTCTATGAACTTCCATCGCAAATCTAAAATAACGAAGTTATTGGACACGCAAGTGTCACAGAGCCCAAAATAAAAAAATCTCACTATTTTAAAAATCGCCATCCGATATCCTTTCCTACTTTTTGTAAACAAAAACAATGATGCCGTTTTATAATGTTTATAATAAAAATTACACCATCTATATTTATAGCACTAGTAAAAATACGTTTTTTGCACCAATTCAAGGTAAGATGAAATCCTTTATGGCCAAGCGCTGGCAGAGCCATCTAGTAACAGGGACATTTCACAAAAATATAAAAAATGAGCACATAATTACCCCATTTTGTATTTACATTCCCCGTCAGGAAAGGGTTAAAGGTAAAGTTAGTACTATATTACATTAAATAATCTGTACAGTCAAAGAATAATGTAGAAAGGAAGATATTAGGTCGTGACAAATACCATGCAGAGAATGAGTTCTCAACAATTGGGTAAGGTCAAGGGGCAGAGCACGATAGGGAAAAACAGTGGTGGGGTGGGGGTCTGGCAGCAAAGCCCTCGGGTTAGGAAGGTTTTTGGTTCATATGCAAAGTTTGTGGATCCCCAGGAGTAGCCATAGTATTAGGGGTAATTACCAGTGGTTTCCCTTAAATCATTTGCAATGGTAAACAACAATAGATCATGGATAATAACTGAGACAAGAAATAATTGCAAGTTTGAATGACTCTAAAACTAAAAAATTACCAAAAGTATTATGTGTGCAATACACGTCTAAATCTTTTTTATTAATTGTTAGTAAGAAATGAAGTTCTGAGGCAGGAAGGTTAGTTTTCAATTATAGAATAATCATATGATACTTTATTCATCTACAAAGTCAGCTTTTTGTCATTTTACCATTTTAGACAACTTAGAAAGCAAAATTGCACTGCTGACTTAATATTGATAGAACCATCTCCCCTTCTTTCCCTATTGTCCTTTCCACTCCCTCCCAGATGCGTCACAGTAGTGTCTTTCTCGAATTCCTTTATCTCCTGATGTTCTTCCTGATATTTCACCTCTTTCCCCTGTTTATTTGCTTCTCCTCCTACTTCTCTGATACCTATTTCTACCCTTATTATCCACTGATTGTCTTATGATGGCTCTTTTGCACTGTTCTCATACAGTGCTACTCTTCCTTCCTCAGATGCATAGATAATTCAGATTGATCTAATTGCCCTTCACCCTTAACCCCCCCTTTTACCTTTTACTAATCTCTGCCTTATTCCATTTGCTCCCTTTCTTTATCTTTTTCACTCAGTATTTATTCTAAAGAATCAAAATTTCTGAGTAGTGTTTTGATGCAACATAGAATTCTTTAAGTAAATTTTGGTAGCTACTGGTATCATTTTTCACTGTAGCAAATCATAATATGTGAATATATGCAGAAAAATAGAAATTACTGCATAATTAGATCTCAGGTATTAATAGAGCTCACCAAAGTCTTGCTGTATCACATAGTTGACATTATTGATTGCATATTTTATATTTTCATTAGCAGTGAAAAGTAAATATTGGTTGAATGCTTCATCTTTGTATCTATATGTGCTCTGTTTAGGTGTGAAAACTATAGTTAACAGTGTATATGATATATGTACCTGGATGCAGTTTCTGTATTGCAAATTTTTATTTTGCTGTCTAGATTATTTTCATCCCTAATTATCCTTTGTATGTCAACTCTATGCCTTGCCCAGCTATTAGGGTGAAGATTATGACTGGTAATTTCATTATCAAAGAATACAATTGAATATTTTTGGTTAATCCCAAGGAATTAGTGGGTGCAAGAATTT